TTGGCAACTTTGCTCCCATTCCTGCAACTTTTGTAGTGTGTCTTTCTGATGTGTTCAAGACAGCCATCCATATTGCAATTTGTTAAACTAGCCCTGTATTATAGACTATAGTACATCCTTACACTGAACTTTTCATTTCTGATCCATCTCCATTCTAGCCATGGGGAATCGCTCTCCTATCGTCATGGAAGGCTTCCTTCTCCAAGCCCGAAACATCTACCTTTTCATCCCTGTCTTCCTCATCGCCGTCGCCTACACTACTCTCAGCACCCTCGGCTACTCCACGGTGGTGGAACCGCTCCTTGAGGTCTTCCACCACGCTGAAAAACTCTGGTTCTGGGGGCGCAACGACCCGGTGTACGCCGACCTCGTCGTCGAGACACTTATCCGCGCCGGCCACCTTGTCTCTGCCAGCACTGCCGACCTCCTCATCACCACCTTCACTATTGGCCCAGCCGTTCTGGCGGTCGCCGTGTCCGCCGCCGTCACGTCGTGTTCCGGGAGGGGAGATTGTCGTTCTACACGCTTGTACGCAAGCTGCTTGCCGGCGGCCTGAAGGGCGCCCCGTTCAGTACCGCGCTGCTCAGCCACATCCTTCACGCCGTTGCGTGCAGGGGAGCCATCTTGGTGTTTGAGCTATACACTGCCTTCTACCTCAGATACACGAGCGATGTGTCCATGCAGTTTCTCCTCTTCCTCCTGGGCCACATCTTCGCCCTCTACGTGGAGGTCGTCTGCACCTTGGCCGTCGTGGTGTCGGCGGCAGAGCCAGCTGGCTGCTTCTACGCTGCGCGCGCGCTCCGGCAGGCGTGGCGGATCTCTCGGCAGAGAAGACCATGCCGGCTGTGATCCTCGTGTTCGTCAAGGCCGTGGTCACCGCCGTTAAGGAGGCAATGTCGATCAGGGTATACATATACCCGATCCATTACTACTATAACCTGACCATGGCGTATGCTATTCTTCCAGGGTTCGTCTGCATCAGCTTGTATATGCAGCTTTGCAGCTGTGGTTTGTGTCTGCAACCACCATATACTACTACCAGTGCAGGCAGCGCAAGGATGGTTATTATATTATTTGAAGCCAAAACACTAGCATTCACCATGGTAATTTCATTTTATATCCGTTGCAAATTCATATGTACTTACATTATTATAAGAGTTAAATGCACCAGAGGTCCATTAACTTGTGAGGAGATTTCGGTTAGATCCATCAACTTTCGAAGTGACTTTTTAAGTCCATAAACTTTGTATGCCGTATCACTTAGATTCATACTTCTTCACGTTGGCTTCTCATGCTGATGTGGCATGATGACTAGGCTGAATCAAGCAGCCCTATACCAATGCATTTTGTCAAATAGACTCCAGGCACACGAGTAGCACCGCCGCCGCCGCCGTTGTGGCCATGCGGGCGTACGAGCAAGTACTGCCGCCGCTGCCACACCGGCACGAAAGCAGGCTCGTACACCAGCGTCTCCACGGGGAAGTCGATGAGGTAGCAGTACCCGCTGGCGCCGCTGTGCACAGGCCGCTGTCGGAGGAGGCGCCGCTGAGGCTGGGTGCTCCAGGACAACGACGCCAGGGAGGTGCTCAGGTACGCTGTGGGATTCCGGAGCCGTTCGGGAGGATCACGTGCCAGTTCCGCGTCGAGTACAGCGTCGTCGCCGTCCACCCGGCCGACACGTACCCCGCCGTGAGCGGCGGCGCTCGCCCGCCGTGGCTTGCCGCGCCAGGGGCCGTTGCTGAGCTCGGGCACGAGGAGGCTCAGGGACACGCGCACGTTCGGGGCACGCGCGCGCTGAGATGAACATGCTGCAAGAGTCGCACACGTTCGGGACACAAGCAACATTCGTTGGCATGTCATTATACAGAGGAAAGCTCCTGCTCCTGCCCCTGCCCCCGGGACGTCCGCGTCGTCCTCTGTCCATACCGCCTCACTCGGATCCGCGCCTGCACGTCGCGCCGCCTCCGCAGCCTGCCCGCGCTCCCACAGACCCGCCACGCTCCCGGAGGTGAAGAAGACCACCCGACGGTTCGTCAACGTCTCTGGGACGGCGCTCACCTACCTGCTCTTCGATGGCGCCGCTGTTGCTGCACGTGTTCCACCTGCTCCAGTTCTGTCTGGACGACATGGACTCGGTTTTCGACGGTGCACACCTACTCGTCGGCGGATGGGGCATGGGCCGACAGGGCGGGCGCGTGGCTCAACGGCGGGTGGCGGGACTGGAGCCGCGGCATGGCGCTGATCCAGCTGGGCATGGGCACCGCCGTCGCCCGCGGAGGGCAGCGCGCTGCAGCTGGTCATTGACACCGACAGCACGTCGGGCCCCAACAGCCTGGTCGCCGTGGACGAGGAAGGCCGCACGACGCGAGCCATCCCGCTGCCGTGCCGGGACGTGGTGGAGAAGGACTGCCGCGCCGTCCTGTTCGTCTCGAACGGCAACTCCTCCTTGTACGCCACGGACACCCGCTTCCGCCGCACCACGTTGAACCCCAGCTGCTGTCCGCTGCCGGAGCAGGTCGGCGGTCTCCTTGGCGTGGCACGACGGTGCGTCGGCGGCAGCGGGGGCGCTCGTGCTGTTGTCGTCGAGGCACTGGCACTAGGCCTTCCCGGGGACACACAGGCCGTACGCGCCGCACGGCGTCGGCAGCTCGCACCGCTCCGATCGAGATGGCCCTGTAGTCCGACGTCCACGCCTTGGATCCGCTGGTCCAGTAGTACGCGCGGAGGTTGCCGTCGTCTTCGAGCGTCATCCGCCGAAAGGCGCCGGTGAGGTTGTCCACGAACGTGTCGAACGACTTCCCGTCCTCCTTCCCTGTCTGGCGCGCCACATCGTGCGGCGGTACGAGAAGACGGTGCCGGAGAGGGAGAGTTTCCGCCACCCGTCCGACACGCTCGTCCTTGGGCAGAACTTCACCAGCTCCTCGCTGCCGCTCGTCTCCGCGAACCGCCGGTTTGCGCTGCGGCTCGGGAAGTCTTACATGGCGCTGCACATGGAGTTCTACGGCGTCCGGACGACACCGACGACGTACTGGCGGCACACGGCGCTCGAGGTGCAGCCGGAGAGCGTCACGGAGCCACCGGTCTACGGCCGCCTCGACTCCCGTGGGTTCTTCGGCCGGCACCTCGAGGGCGGCGACCGGAGAGTCGACGTGCTCTCGTCGGCCGCGCTAGCCTCGCCTGGTGCCGTCATGGCCAGCGCCCTGCTCGCAGGCGCGCGGTGACCCCGTGTGCATCCGATGTTCGGTGCCGAGGCAGTGGCGCTCGCCCACGAGCTGTTTGACAAAATACATTGCCAATAGCTGTTTCAGAAGGACATGTCAGCAGGCCACGTCAGTATGAGAAGCCCACGTGGAGGGATATGGACCTAAGTGTTACGGCATACAAAGTTTATGGACCAAAAAAGCCACTTTAAAAGTTGATGGACCTAACCAAAACTTTCTCACAAGTTAATGGACCTCTGGTGCATTTAACTCTTATTACAAGTTATGCATATATGTTCTTGCACCGTTTTTACGTACAAATCATTCGGGTATGTATATTTACAAACCATTTTGAACGTGCTTATACAAGTTAGATTTATGTGCTTACAAGATGGCTACAGCGCTCACCTGCATAATTAGGAGTGAGTCATGCATAATGTTGTGAAACGCCGGATAATCTGGTGATAGGCAGGGTTCAAAATATCACCGATACCAAGTCAATATTTCAACATTTCAGCATGGGCCTATGTTTAGCCAGTTTCAGTTAAAAATTGCATGAATTTGAATTTGACCCGTTAGAATCTCATCCCATGAACGCATCAGCCCAAAACGAGTGGGTAGAACTCTCACTGTAACCTAATCCTAAAAATATATCCTATTTTCAGGCCTGCTCTTCCTTTCCAAGCCGCCACCGCTCTCTGCTCTCCGCCAAGCTCTGTTATATCCTCAAATTTCTATACTATTTTATATTGATTTTACATCACATGGTTTAGATATATTTTACGTGATTTTTCTCTATGAATTAAGAGTTTTCTATATGACTAATAGGCATAGCGTGAGCGAAAGAGCACCCTAAGCACTTGTTTACAGACCCTACGCGTTTAATATTCCAATGATATACGAATTTGACAGAAACATGAAAGAAAAGTGCATGGTCCAACAGATTCGGTATCTCATCCACAAAATACTGAGTACACTATCCGATCCCACGAATGCCCGGCCTGTGATTCCAACAAATTATATTTGTGGGCTTAGATGGGGGCCTGCGGGTGGCAATCAGCCTGGCGATGGTGGCGTATTGGGGGCAGCGAGCGAGGCGGTGAGACGCCACATAGTGGGCGGCAGGAGACGTTCAATTGGCCAGAGTCAGCGACTGGGGCGAGGAGACACTGGCAAACTCTCTGATTGGGATTAGAGAAGGGCATGTGGGATGGTCAAGTGGGTGTGTTCGGCGGGCGGGGGATCGCCGGCAGCCCAGGCGGCGTGAGGGAGGAGAAAGATGGGTACAAAGGGAGAGAGGTGGAAGATGATGAGGGATAGAAGAGGAAAACGATGGGCGTGCGCTGCTATCCCTCCGGATGTCGTGCACGTCTATTAAGGGGGTTAGTGCCAGCGGGGCCACTTTGTAAAATATGGTTTTTTTTCGATCTCCAAATTATTGTTAAACAAATTCATCGCTATGTAACTTCAATATCTTTTGTTCTAGATATTTGTTGGTTTGATTCTTATTGGGCTTGTTCAAGATTCTTGTCTAGGTTGTTCTGTTATGTTTGAGGATAATCGGAGTTACGGATTGTTAGTCTACACTCTGCACCAACTTCAGTATAACTACACAAAATATGTCCAAATTTGTTGATTGCTTGTTGGATATCCACCCCAGTCAGCCAGTGAGCCAAGGGCAACCAATGTATTTATGCTCTTATATACATGCCGATGATAAGCCTAGGTGGAGCAGTAGCCACTAGCCAAGCCATGGCTGAGGCTGAAAACCAATCACGAGGCGCGTCTTGCTTGTCCTTCCTAATGCATTCCCTCAACATCCCTGGGCGCAACCTTGGCATCTTCGTGCCAGTATTGGCTCTCAACGTGGCATACGTCGCCTTCACCGATCACGCCTACTCCCTTGCTCAGCATGGAGTGCTGCTGCGGCCCAACGACATGGCCGCAGCCTACCTCCTGTGCGCCTTCCTCGATCCGGCGGTCCGTGTCGTCACTCGTCACTGCCTCCGCGGCCGTCGCGATGTACTCGGAGTCGGAGCAGCACGCACTGTCGTGGCGTCCGCTCATCGCCGAGACGTTGCGCGGAAGCATCAAGGCCGCCCCGGACCCGTTGCGACGGTGGTCGACGCCAATATCCTGTCCCTGGCGATTTTTTCTATTTTAACATTTTTTTAAACTAATTTTAAATCTAGAGCCCTCTTACGGCGCTTGAAATTGCCTCGTATTGCCTCCCATTGCCTCCATAAAATATTAATTATCATCATAAAGGGTATGTTGGTCATTTCACGTGCCTATCACTACTCGCCGCGCCCCGTCCCTGATCCGCGCCCGACGCCGTCGTCCCGACTCGCCCTCGCACTCGGCATCGCCCGACGCCCCGACCCTGCACGCGCTGTCGTGTTCACCAAAGCCGCCACCGTCGCCGCCGCCCTCGCACGGCGCCGCGCCGGCCTGCCATCGCCCGCACTGCCCTGCTCTTACCCTAGCGACCGCCGCCCTGCTCTCTCCCTCCCTCTAGCCGCCGCCGGAGCCTCGTCGCGACGGCGGCCCAGCCGCGCCGCTGCCCCCGCCCCCAGCACGAGGGCCGCGGTGGTCGCCTCCGTCGCCGCCTTCGTCGAGTCCGCTGGATTCCCGCGCGCCCTCGCCGCCCTCCAGTCCGAGGCCAGCCTCGAGGTACCAACTCCCCTGTAATCCGATCACATGATGAAACCTCGAATCAATTTGGTTTGTGTTCACTCTGATTCCATTCACTACACTTTGACTAATAATAGAAAGTGTTATATATTACGGAAGTATGTTTCATGATAAATGCAGACATGCAGTAACATCAACCTCATGTTATCAATCTATATAACTATTTGGTCAATGATGGCCAAAGCTAAAAAAAGTTTGACCTTGGACAAAGATAAATGGACTTATATTTGGGATCGGAAGGAGTAAACAATTTTCATAGTCAACAGGGTGCCATGAAACAGTAACTAAGCAGACTTAGAAATAAGAAGCTAACAGGTAACAAGTCAAATACAAACTTATGTTTCAGCAAGGGAAAATAGTTTGTCTTAGTAAAAGGCAGGTGTGTTTTTCTAAGAGCTTAGGAGTGTGGGTGTGTGTGTTGTAAGGGCTCTTGCCCCTTTTTCTTCTTAATACAAAAATACGTAGCTCTCCCGCGAGTTCGAGAAAAAAAAAAAACTTTTAGCCAGGGAAAATGGACGCAGTGAGTGACTGACCTTGGAGTGCTTGTAGTATCACCGTAGGATTGATGGAATCAGCTGGAGCATTCCTCAGACTTTCAATCAGATCTAGACATTTCCTAAACAACACTCTCCCTTTTGCATCCTCACTTAAACGGAATATCTTACAAACAAACTCAAGCTCACGTAACAAAGCATCCATATCCCAACCAGGAGCACATTGTTGGAAGACATCCTTAACCCAACCAAGCAGCTCTGAGGTTCTCTGGCAAGCCCGGCACCTAAAAAGCATTTCAGCATGACCAATGCTGCTTTTCACTGATTGTCCCATTCCTATCTGGCCATTGTGAATTGCACAATCTGTATGTGTCCAGTGAGAGCAGAAATCACAACCAATCCAACGGCATGTATTGACCTCAAAATCAAACTTGTTGCAGATCACACACATGCACAGATTGCAAAAGCCATTCCTGCTAGCACACACATTGCATCTGCACTCCTCAGCAGGGAGCACTCTGGCAAGCAATGTTCCGGCACCTCTTGTACAAGAAGACCTCCAACAAGCGATTGTGTGGAATGGTAACGCTGGGGTGCAGAAAGGCCTGTATCCCAGTCTTGATTGCAACAAGGATCTCAAGCTGAACATGGTGCGCCACTGAAAGCATGGATGGTGTCAAATCATCCCTGTCCTGCACAAGCTTCTGCAAGTACAAGAACTCCTCGATGTGGTGAGAACCTCCAGTGCCCTCCAGAATCGACCTGAGCTCATTCTTGACCTCCTCCAGGTGCTCCTCCGGCATCACCTTCATCTTCTCTGCGACCAGATCAACCCTCTCCCGTGCAACCTCCCGCAGAAGCATCCCACCCACACGGGAGAAGGGTCCGCGGATAATCTGCAGCTTGGATACACCATTCGCCACCTCCTTCTCCTTCTCTGCCGCCTTACTCACGACACCACTGGCAGCTACCCCACCGTTGCTCTGGTTCGGCTCAGCAGGCCATGTGTCCTTGGAACTGGCGCTCTCAGTGGTGGAGTCATGTCCTGTGTCTGAGTTTGAACCAGGCTCCTGCACGTTATGTAATTAGCATAGCTATTGCTTTTCCTCCAGTTGTGGATTCACTTGGTGTTAGTGAAGCTTATTGATGTTTTAGTTATGTGATTATCTTTCCCTCTTGTCGGGGTTGTCTTGTATTATTTTTGGATATAATAAGTCACTGCTCATGCACCTTGGCTGGTTTCTGTTACACCTTGGTGGAGCTTGTTTCTGTTACACCTTGGCTGGTTCCAAGTTTCTAAATGCATATAAACATAGGCTTCTGTTTTAGAACATGGCAGGCTGCTGAAATTTGAAACTTCAAGTGCAAAATGAATTTCAATAATGAAAACCTGTGCATCCTAATGAAAGCTTCATTTTTTAGGAGGAAATGTCGGATGATGATTCTTTGCTGGAGTACAGTGAAATTGTTATGAAGATGTTTGGCAGTGAAGACGACGGATTTGAGTTTTATAACAACTACGCTTATGAGAAAGAATTTAGTGTGAGAAAGGAATACTGCGAGTGGGACAACGGCCACAATGAGAGGACCCTTTGGAAGTTTGTTTGTAGCTGTGAAGGTTTCCGCGCAGAGAAGGAGGTGAGGAGGGAGATCAAGAAGCACAGGCCGCAGAATATCACTCGTTGTGGATGCCGTGCTCAACTTGTGATTGCATAGGATCCGAACACAAAGCAGTGGTATGTGAAGGATTTCATCGACGAGCACAACCATCCGATGACGGAACCAGACCTCACAATGGTATGTGAAAGAATGTCAATCAACAGATTGCTCACCTCGCAATGAAGGTTGTGGAAGGGTTCTCGTGGCCAGCGACTCAGTGAAGGCGGAGATCAGCGGAGGCGGCGGTGGGTCGACCTCCTGGCAGCGGCTATGGCGGCGCACGGGCTAGGGCTAGGTCTCCTGGCGGTCCCTTTAGGGATGAAAAGTGGCGGCGCGGAGCTCTGAGCCTACTCTTTATAAGGGGCGGGCGCGGGGAACCTCAGGGGGCACGTTCGAGGGGATCGGGCGGCGGTGGCTACGCCCGGTTGATGCGGCGCGGCGGGGCACGTTCGAAGGAGGGGAGGGGTAGTGGGCTTTGGCCCTATCGATGCGGGACCCATAGGGTTCCCCACGGAGAAGAGAGAAGAAAACCTAGTCTAAATAAGATTCTCTACATATAATCCTACTAGGACTAGTTACACATAATCCTACTAGGATCTCTACTTTGTAACCGACTAGGACTCCCGCCTCTCCTAGACTATATAAAGGAGGGCAGGGGTCCCTAGATCGGCACCGACAGACGATACAACACAACAACACACAATCAATCCAACACAAAGGCTAACGCCGGCTGGACGTAGGGCTATTACTTGATCAACGATCGAGGGACCCGAACCAGGATAAATCGACTGTCTCTTGCGTTCACCGTCGAGTTCCGCATACGCTGAAGCCCGAACATACTGTCCCGGGTAACCCCATGATAGGCTATCGGTGGTAAAACATCGACAACTGGTGCGCCAGGTAGGGGCTCTCGGCGCTTTGCGTTTGAGAGCTCGGTGGACCTCAAGATCAAAGACTTGTTGTGGCTCTTGTTGGCCCTCATTGACAAGTCGCTGCAGCTCTCATCGACCCTCAAGATCAACAACACGTTCTCGGCGACAGCCTCGAGCATCCAAAACTCATACAAGCTATCGTTGGGAACATGTACACCAATGAACTCACCGCATCTCGTTCAATCTCAAGATCTGTCACAGGAGCTTCACCACGTTCATGTACCGGATCATCATGCTCAGATTCCAAACAAACTTCCTTGTCAAACTCGCAGCAGTTCAATTGCCATGATGACAACAACATGGCGTCTCTAGGCATCGTCATCAACTTATGCCTGTACGAGCCAGTGGACAAACTCAGGTTGGATTCGGGACCGGCAGACTTTTCGTTGGGCACACAGTCGAATTCAAGACGGATGGAACCTGTATCCAAGTCAGTTGTACTCTCGCGGTGGAATAATAACTGAACTCTAAATACGGCAAGGGCCTGATGCGTCTCCATTCGATGAACAAAAAAAAAGAAGCAAACAAGGACAACATATATGTGTATATACATGCACGAACACATGCTGTATATGCTACGTCGGACAACCAGCCCCAGATTCCACCTCAACAAAGTCAAAACGACAACTGAGTTCGACTCCAACTCGAACACCTCGAGGACTCCCGTAAGTAGCTGGATCGGAGGACAACTAGGACTACAACAACTTGGATACGAAGACCTCAGCACGAACGGTACAAAATCAGATCAACTCGGATACGGAGGACTGACCAAGAAGCAAGACGTACAGACTACTACCAAAGAAGCAAGCAAGGCCAATGCGTTTGTGCACTATTTATGTATGTGCACGCATGTACATATCAAGGCTTGTACATGATGCGTACATTCATGTCAACCAACACGCAAGCTGTTCTAGCTGGTCAACAAGCAAGCCATCCGACTGGAAGCAAGCAGGCCACTACGACAACCCGGTAATAGCGCAACACTCTCCGAGTACTCCACGACGACGACGGATTCCGGCTACCACTACAACAACCCGCCGACTCCGCCGTGATGCTCGATGACTACCTCGACTACTACTCAGAACCAACAAACTAGTCGGTGACGAGTTCCGGATGCTCGACGTGTCTACAACCAACTGCTCAGACGTGGTATCCAACTACTCGTCCGAAGTACCCAGCAACTCGGCTACGGCGATCTACAACTCGGCCATCAACCAAGCTAAGCGACGCTTTAATTTTTAAATACATTCCGGATATTATTCGTATGCCTCTATGGCCATATCATCTTCCCTTAACAGCTGTTAATTTACTCGGATAGTAAGCCTTAATTCGTGAAGCTTGTTTTCTCGAATGGATGGTCATGTCAATGAACCTCTGAACCATACGGATGATCACGTCAAAGAACCTCTGAACCATACGGAGTGGTCATGTCAATGAACCTCTAAACCATACGCGAGATTCAAGTGCTTAAACGTAACAGGCTACTACCCAGGAAATTAACCGACCTAGCAAGGGAAGACACAAAAAATCATCATGCGAGCAAACATAGTGCTCTACAATCATCATGCGAGCAAACATAGTGCTCTAAGTAAAATCATCATGTGAGCAAACATAGTGCTCTAAGTCTTCTCTTAACGCTCGCTAAAGTCCTCAGGTAGAACATGCCTAAATCCGTGAAGCTTGTCTACTCATATGGACGGTCACGTCAATGAACCTCTGAACCGAATGCTAGGCTCACATGGTCACTTCAATGAACCTCTGAACCATACACTAGAGATTCAAGTGCTTAAACGTAACAGGACACTACCTGAGGAATTTGCGTGGCCTAGCAAGAGCAAGACGCGAAAAAAGTTTATATGCATTTTATGATGCCGGGGCCCGCCCCTGATTGATTATTCAAATATGGGACATGCTCCCGACTTCATATCCAGAATGTCATTTACAACATATTTTTATGTTTAACATGTAGGGGAGCTACATCTGTACCATGAGATCAGGAAAAACATGCTCCTGAGAGCTAATCCAGAAACAACCTGGTTTGATAAAAAAAGAACCCCGACAAGGTACTACAAGTACCAAGACAAATTCAGAAAGAACCCGGATTGATCAAAAAACAATGCGGATGAGGTACATACAAGTTCAGAAAAAATCTAGACGAAGTGCAAACAATCTGGAAGAGGTACATCAAGAACCATAGGTCTAGAAACAACCATGATGAATCAAAAACAACCTGGAAGAACATCACGGCTTAGTCAAACGCTAAGCTCGGTAACTCAGCATACGCTTCAACTACACCCGGGGGCTCGAATTCAAGGGCGAAAGACCAAGAATATAAGTACTCAAGACTATAACAAAATACAACACATCAAGACACTTCATCCGATTTCTTTTTAAAAGAAAAGAACTCGGAGAAGGCTCGGGGGCTGCGGGATACATAACCCCAGAAATTTTTTAAGACAAGAATCTGGACCCAACTCCAAAATTTTTTTAAGACAAGAATCTGGACCCTCCAACTTTTGCAAGCAAAAGCAAGAGGCTCGGGGGCTACACTCAGTGAGTGTAATTTTTACGAAAAATTACACCCACCGAAAAAGAACTCGGAGCAACCAAGAAGACTAAAGGGACCCTCTGGCTTCTTGTCCCAACAAGCAAGATGCTCGGGGGCTACACTCACTAAGTGCACTTTTGTCCAAAAGTGCACATCAGCCGAAGAAAAGACAAAGAAGACCATCTCAAGATCTCGCTTCAAGAAAGAACCCGGAACAAGTCTACAACAACCCGGCCCTTGAAGCTCAATCATGAAATGCTCGGGGGCCTGTCGATGCGGGACCCATAGGGTTCCCCACAGAGAAGAGAGAAGAAAACCTAGTCCAAATAGGATTCTCTACATGTAATCCTACTAGGACTAGTTACACATAATCCTACTAGGATCTCTACTTTGTAACCGACTAGGACTCCCTCCTCTCCTATACTATATAAAGGAGGGCAGGGGTCCCTAGATCGGTACCGACAAACGATACAACACAACAACACACAATCAATCCAACGCAAAGGCTAACGCCAACTGGACGTAGGGCTATTACTCGATCAACGATCGAGGGCTCGAATCAGGATAAATCGACTGTCTCTTGCGTTCACCGTCGAGTTCCACATACGCTGAAGCCCGAACATACTGTCCTAGGTAACCCCGTGACAGGCTATCGGTGGTAAAACATCGACAGGCCCAGAGGCCAAATAGAGGGGAGTAGGGGAGAACTGCTCGGTGTTCGTCTCTAGGGAAGGAGGCGACACTGTGCGTGGATCCGCTAACACGCGGGCCCCGTAGGTAAGCGACAGGGGCGCGGGCATAGGGTGCTGGGCCTGTTATTGCTGATGGGCTGCTGCCTGCTGGGCTTTGGCCCAAGCGAGGGAAAGGGCTTCTGACGAATCAGGTTTTGAAATATTCCTAACATTTTTGAGTTTTGAAATACAGCTTTGAACTTGATTTTGAAATAAACTTTTAAAAATTCTATTTATTTTATAAATACATCAAAATTTTGATTTGAAGTTACGTCGAATTTTATAAATTCAATTTTCACAACAATAAAAATTTATGCAACAGCATGAATGCAACATCCCTCAATTTAAAATTTTTAAATTTATTTAAAGTTCCCATTTTGCACATTTTGAAATACTAAACCTCTTACTAAATATTGGAAAATTTTAGTAAATTCATAAGATCAATTATTTTTTCAATGAAAACTATTCACAACCCAAAATAGAAATTCGACGTCCTACGGTCAACGCGGCTTTGATAGGGTATGCTAGACTAGTGGAGTCCTTGTCCTGAAACAAAATTTGACTGTACTTTTTGAAAAGAAAAAGTTAGCTTACACGTACTGACTGACTGAGTGGAGTAAAAGGCCTAACATGAAAGGAAGTGAATCAATCACTCTCATGTCTTGCCAGAGTGAACCACTAGCCATAATATGCTACGAAACTAAGCCGCCACTGTTCACGTGTCGTCAGAGTGGACTAACAGGCCAATAACATATTAACAAAGTCAACCGACCACTCTCATGTATCGTCTGAGTAGGTAGACTAGTACTCGTAGCATGACAGCTACTCAACCTTACATGATAGAAACTAAGCCGTCCTTCTTATGTGTAGTTCGAGTGGACTAATAGGCTAACAAGATAAGAAATCCATCAGATCACTCTCATGTCTTGTCTGAGTGTAGTCATAGTCCTACCACGACAGCAACTCAACCTACACTCTCGTGCCTCATCTGATCAGTGGACTGATAGGCCTAACATGAACGAAAGTGAATCGATCACTCCGACATATATTAATAGGCCTAACATGATACAAAGTGAACCGATGGTTCTTATGTCTTGTCTGAGTGGAGTAATAATCGTAAACCATGGTAATAAATTAAGTTCAACCGAGCACTCTAACCACATGTTACCAAGTGAACCATATGAGTGTGTATGTCACGTGTTAGTAAAAAACATGTACCCTATTTTGGGTTGTGAATAACTAAACAAAATAAAGTATTTAATAATTTTCCTAAAATTATCTATTTTTTTGGAGATTGGTTTGCAAAAAAAAAATTAAAATAAATGGTTTGCAACAAAAAAAAAATTGGTGCCATGGGCCAGCGACAGCTAGGTCAGGTTCGACCACAAATAGGGCCCTACCAGGCCACGACGGCCCAATTAGCCCGGTATATAGCTGACTCCCCGGTCGAGCCCGAGCGCGCGGCCCAAGGCCCACTATGCCCTAGCGCCCAGTTGCGCCGCTCGGCTACAAAACACGGGGGTAACTGGAAACGGGGTTTGAAGCCACGAGGCCGTCTAGCTCGGTCAACTGAGGAACAGGAGTTTGAACAAGGTAATGACCACCTGCCCCACGTGGCAGTGGAAAGGAGAGAGGGAGGGCTGCGGTTGGTTTGCTGGGCCGGGTAGTGGGCTGTGGCCCAGAACAAAAATAGAGGGGAGTGCGAGAGCGGTGGAGAAGGAAGTCAGCTACATGCCTAGTTTAGTCCCACCTCGCTTGCGTATCAATCAAAAGCACAGCTTAAAAGCGCAGGCAAACTAGCCAGTTCGAACACCTGTACTCCACTGCCTATGCTCTTAAACGTTTGTTACCTGTGCTAATTGGGCCGGCGCGGCCTGGTTGGGCTCCCTTGGAGGTCAAGCTTGACCTAGCCGTTGCTGGCCCTTAGCACCAATTTTTTTTTCAAACCATTCATTTTGCAATTGAAGTCCTCTTGAAAACCTTTTTTTCAAACCATTTATTTTGTAATTGAATTTTTTTTTATCTTCCGGTACTGATTTGTAATATAAAGCCGGACCTTAAAATAAAGAAACTCGGATTCACACATAAAAAACATGTGGATAGAGTGATCGGTTCAACCTATAAGTGCACTCGGATGACACATAAGAGTGATCGGTTCACTTCCTAAGGTTAACGGTCTATCAGTCCACTGATCAAACGAGCCGCGAAAATGTAGGTTCA